GGCACATAACCCCCCCCCCCAAATCTGTTATAAATCCTAACCTTTATGCCTGTGGTTGGCGCAGTACCAGGCAGTGTTTCATTCTGTTGTGCAAAGGGTCACTATAAGTCAGTACCAACTCGATGGCACCTAACAACAACTACAATACCTGTGGAGGAATTGATGGACTATAAACTGAAATCTTTTGGTTTGCAGCACAGGAGGCACTCACTCATCTAGGCCAAGAAATTAGGAAGATGGCTACCTGGCTAACTGGTTGGAAGAGGTTCACATCTGTGCCCCTTCCAAAGAGAGGTGACCCAACAGAATGCAGAAATCATTGGACAATATCATTAATATTACATGCAAGTAAAATTTTGCTAATTTTTAAAATGGCTTCAAAAGTATATTGGCAGGGAACTGCCATAGGTTCCAGCAAGATTCATGAGAGATATCATTGTCAATGTCAAGATGGATCTTGGCTGAAAGCAGAGAATACCAGAAATATGTCTATCTGTGCTTTATTGACTATGCAAAGGCTTTCTGTTGTGTGGATCATGACAAAAGCTATGGACAACACTGTGGAGAATGAGTACTCCGGAATGCTTCATTGTGCTCATGAGGAACTTATACATAGACCAAGAGGCCTTTAAAATCAGGAAAGGTGTGCGATAGGGTTGTATTCTTTCACCGTACTTATTCAACCTGTATGCTGAGCAGATAACCAGGGAAGCTGGGTTATATGAAAAGGAACATGGCATCAGGATTAGAGGAAGACTCATTAACAACCTGTGCTATGCAGTTGATACAACCTTGTTTGCTGAAAGTGAAGAGGACTTAAAATACGTACCGATGAAGATCAAATGGAGAAAAGAATGAAGTTGTCAAAGACTTCATTTTGCTTGGATCTACTATCAACACTCATGGAAGCAGCAGTCAGGAAAGCAAACAATGTATTGCTGCATAAGATCTCTTTAAAGTGTTCAAGAGCAAAGATGTCAGTTTGAGGACTAAAGTGCACCTGACCCAAGGTATGGTATTTTCAGTAGCCTTATATGCATAAGAAAGTTGGACAATGAATAAGGAAGAGCACAGAAGAATTGATGCATTTGAGTTACGGTGTTGGAGGAGTATACTGAAAGTATCATGGACTGCCAAAAGAACAAAGACATTTATGTTGGAAGAAGTACAGTCAGAAGGCTCATTAGAAGCTAAGACGGTGAGACTTCGTCTCTCATACTTCATATATACATCAGGAGGGACCAGTCCCTAGGGAAGGATATCATGCTTGGCAAAGTAGAGGGTCAGCAAAAAAGAGGAAGACCCCTAACGAGATGGATTGGCACAGTGGCAGCAGCAGTGGGCTCAAGTAGAAGGATAATTGTGAGGTTGGCCCAGGACCAGCAGTGCTTCATTCTGTTGTGCAGAGGGTCGCTGTGAGTCGGACCCAACTCGATGGCATCTAACAACAGCATGCCTGTGGAGGAGCTCTGGTGGCACAGTGCTTAAGCACTAGGCTGCTCATTGAAAGATCTGTGGTACCAGCCAATCAGTCGCTCCGCAGGAGACAGCTGTGGCAGTGAGCTGCTAGGGTGATCTAGTCTGGGAAACCGTATCCATGGAGCAGGACCCCTGCAGGAGCTAGGATCACCATCTCATGTGGGCATGCGTTGTCTTTGTTACGTCAACACAATATTAATGTTGGGTGTGTCTTAACTCAATCTCTTTTGAGATATAAAATAGGTAAATGAAACAAACAAGGGAGAAAGCAGAGAAGCGGGGGAGAGGTGCAAAGACACAGGAAGGTCACCCAGGAGCATAAGCTCCAAAGAGACAAGGACCTTCTTCCTCCAGAGCTGATGAAGAGAGAACCAACACCCCACATTCAGACCTCAGGCGTCCAAGTCATCTCCGTGTGATGCTTCTGCGGTAGCAGCAGGAGAGATCTAAGACAAGAGGCAGCGGTTCCTGCATCCGAGAATGGATGCCCAAGACTCTGGTGGGGACCGTCCTTTCCTCAGTGCTGACCTGCTGAACCAGCTGAGAAATCAGATGTCATGCGTTTCTATTGGGATGTTACACAAGGTAAGAGGGTGCTGAATGCAGCGATCAAAGGATGCAAGTGATGATTTGCTTCCTCTGACAAGGCTCCAGAAGACAGCCCTGGTGGAGCTGTGGGATAAGCAATGGACTGCTGACTGTAAGATCAGCGGTTAGCCACCTGCTCCTCAAGAGAACACTGAGGCTTTCTGTTCTGTGGAAAGATTTACAGCCTCAGAAATGCGGTGCAGGATTACTCTGAGTCAGAATCAGTTCGATGGCAGTGGGTGGGTTTGGGCAAGTGGGTTAGAGCTCAGGACTGGGAAGAAAGAACATGAGACTGGGGACTGTCATGGACTGAACTATGTCCTCCAGAATGGGTCAACTTGGCTGGACCATGATTCTCTGGTTTGGCAGTTGATGTCATTTGGCAGTTACATAATGATGCAATCATCCCGAGAGGCAGTCTGATTTCATCAGCCAATAAGTTGTAAGGGGATTAGGGTGGGCTACAACACCCTTGGACTTCTGTTGTATAGGATAAGCACTAGACTGTGAACCACAAGGTTGGTGGTTCAAACCCACCAGCTCCTTGGAAACCCTGTACAGGATCGCTATGAGTCTAAATCAATTGTTGTTTTTGTCATGTGCCCTGGAGTCGGTTCTGACCCATAGCGACCCTGTACAGGGTTTCCGAGGCTGGTAGTTTTGAACTTCTGACCTTGTGGTTCGCAGCCCGATTCGTAACCACTACGCTACCAGAGATCCTTTTAGATGGTATTTAATAATAACAACACCCTTACTAAGGTCACAGTGATTCCATGTTAGGGGAGACTCCCTGGGGTGTGGCTTATGTCAGCCTTTTATCTTACAAGAGACAAAAAGGTGATAGAAGTGAGAGGAGAAGGAGGGATTGCCTACCACCAAGAATGACGAGCTGGGACCAGGGTGCGTCCTTTGAACCCTGCACTGAGAAACTCCTGAACCCAAGGGAAGCTTGATGCCAAGCTACTTGGGGATCCCACAGATTCTGAAAGGAGACAAGGATCTTCCTTCAGAGAGAGCCCAGAGAGCCTTGCCCTGAATCCGACGCTCTGAATTAAGACTTGTAGCTTCCTACGGTGTGAGAGAATACACTTCAGCTTGTTAAAGCCATCCACGTGTAGTACCAGGTTAGAGCAGCGCTGGAGAACTAGGCCATGGCCGGCGGAGGGGAGAAGGCCCAGCAGATGAGCACAGGGTGGGGGTGAAGGAAGAGACAGCAGGGTCCCCTGACAGGAAGGATGGGATGCTAGAAGAATCAGGGTAACACAGTGAGGTGCATGGGCCCTACAACCCAGCTGTAAGGATCAAGTTCTACCTCTACAGCTTCCCACCATGAGACCTTGAGACCTTGGTGATACGGGCCCCATCTTCCTTATCTATGAAACAAGACCTTTCACACGGATTGCTATAAAGGCTCATTGCCTTCTTGCTGTTGTTAAGCGCAGTCGAGTCGCTCAGTTCCAATTCATAGTGATCTTGTATAGGGTTTCTGAGGAGCGGCTGATGAGTTTGAACCGCCGACCTAGTGGTTAGCAGTCCAGTCCAGTGCTTATCCTACAGTGCCACACAAGTACTCATTGACTTGTCAAGGGTTTACTTCAGTGTCTGGTACACAGTACGAACAATATAAAGAATTATACCAACCAACTGCCACAGAGTCAACTCTGACTCATGGGGACTCCACACAGATCAGAGGAGAGCTGTGTGCCGTTGAGTTGTCCATGGTTGCCAGGCCTTTCTTCCAAGGTACCTCTGGATGGACTCATTAACTGTTTGTTGGTCCCACCCAGGGATTCCATATAAAGAGTAGACTAAGCATTTAATAAAAGGAGCTCTGGTAGCATAGTGGTTACGAATCAGGCTGTGAACCTCAGGGTCAGCAGTTCGAAACTACAGCTGTTCCATGGGAGAAAGATGAGGCTTTCTGCTCCCGTAAAGATTTACAGCCTCGGAAACCCTGTGCAGGGTCGCTATGAGTCAGAACCGACTCCACGGCACATAACAACAACAACAACAACAACAAGCATTTAATAAAGAGAGAAGGCTTCTTTCTCTGTGCTATAGTTCTCTTTCTTTCTTTCTTTTTTTTTTTTTTTTGTGTAAAGGTTTTTATTGTCGGGGGAAGGGGGACACAGTGGACAGGGACCTGCTCAGTCCTTCATGGCAGCCGCTTTCCTCATGGCGGCCAGGACGTTGCTAAGCTTCTCTTGCTTCCTCTTGGCACGGATGTGTGTCCCCACCCTTTCCTTGATGAACTTGAGTGCCCACTTGTCCTTGGAGACCCTGAGCAGCTCCTTGCCTGTGCTCATAAGGCGCAAAGCCACACACCTCCCGGATCATGTCCAGCACGAACTTGTGCTTGGTGAGGCGCCCATAGCGGCGGCTGTACCTTGGCTGGCTCACGTTCTTGGTTACTTTGTGGTCCTTGTTGAGGCCCACGGCACGGCCATGGCTGCTTCCCTTCAATGGCTGTGGTGGCAGAAGGTATAGTTCTCTTTTGAGAGGTGTGCTTACCACAAACATCTTTAAAAAAGCAAAGGAGAGGGGCTATGCGGGTCTGAATTCTGGGTACCGAGTAGACCCCACGGAAGGAGGCAGCCGGAAGTAATCAGCAGAGAAGCGGGGAGCAAGAGTGGCAAATGGTCCCTACAGATTGAATCAGTGGGATAGTAAGCTCTTCTTGCCAATCCTTAGTGAGGGGACTGGCCTTTCCCTGAGAGAAGGGGCTCAGTTATTACTATGTTAAAGTTTTTTTATTGATAAAAATTTTACCTATAATGGAATGCCCAAGTGTACATTTTGATGAGTCTGGACAAATGTGTGCTGTTGAGTTGACTTAGACTCAAAGTAACCTTACAGGACAAAGAACAGCCCGGAGAAGCAGATCACCAGGTTCTTTCCCCCCAAAACAGCTGCTGGAGGGTTCGAACTGCCAACTTTTCAGTTAACAGCTGAGCACTTAACCACTGACCCATCAGGGCTCCTTTAGACAAATGGAAACAACTATGAAAAGGAGTGCTGGGAGCACAGTGGGTTAAGTATTGGGCTGCTAACCACAAGGTCAGTGGTTCAACCCCCCCCAGCAGCTCAGCAGGAGAAAGATGAATCAGCCTGCTCTCACAAAGATGCCCAGCTTTGGACACCCTAGGGAGCAGTCCCACTCTGTCCTAGGGTTGCTGAGTCTGAAATGACTGTGGCCACGGGGAATATATCCATGAAACCAGCGACCCCATCAAAAGACAGATCATTTTTATTATCGCTAAATTCCCTGTGCTCTTTTCTGTCACCCTACTGTGGCACTGCAGCATAAGGTGCTGGACCTCAAGGTCAGTTTGAACTGCAAGGTCGGTGGTTCAGGCACACCAGCTGCTCTTCAGAAACCCTTGCCGGGCTGCTATGAATAGGAACTGACTCGATGGCACTTAACAACATCAACCCACATTTCGGCAGACAATGCTTTATCTCCGTCACTACAGATGCAGTTTCTTCCAGATTTTAAACATCACATGTAGTGTGTAGTCTTTTGTGCCTGGCTTCTTTCGACACAATGTCTTTGTGGTCCATCTGCGGTGTTGCCTGTGTCACCAGTTTATACCGTATTATTGAGTAGTATGAAAGTCTTGGTGTGGTGCTGTAGGATAAGCACTGGACTGCAAATTACAAGGTTGACAGTTCAAACCCACCAGCCACTCCTCAGAAACCCTGTGCAGGGCCGCTGTGAATCAGAACTGACTTGATAGCACTTAATCAACAGTATTCCATTACATGAATATACTACAACCCGCTAACCACAACCATAAGACTTCGGGGGAACTTTACGTTTTTGGGTTATTATGAATGAAGCTGCTAAAAAAATTCTTGTACATATCTGTGGACACATATACTTTCATCTCTTTTGTTTAAATAGTTAGGTGTGAACTGTTTGTGTGTGTATGTTTCATGTTTTTAAAACAATCTCGCACGCCAACTTGCTATCTATGACAGTTTTAGTTGCTCCTGATTGTGGCCAACAGTAGGAGGTAAGAAGCAGAGGTTTGGGGCCAGGCTGGGTCTAAATCTTGAGTGGGTTTATTAATCTCTTGTGTTTCATATTCTTAATCTATACAGTGTCCTCTATGGAACAGTGTGACTATTAAATGAGATAATTTATGTAAAGCCCACAAGGTGCTGAAGTCATAGAGGTCTGTGTGTCCCTTTCCTAAGTGTGATCTAAGAGGCAGTGATCTGAATGAATGGATGAATGAATGAATGACTTCCTCCAAATCTCAGCCTGCAGTGGAGTATTCGGAGGCCTGAATGTCTACCCATACCTTCCTTCTCTGTCACTGGGTGTATCTTGATAGTCTTCATCCAGCTTCAGGCATGGCTGAGGCGGTTCATCCAGCTCCAAGCGTGGCTCCTAAAGACAAAGACCAAGTCAAGATGGGATTACGTGCAGAGTGTCGCTGTTCACTGTGGAGGAGCCGGCCCTTGGCTGGTGGTGAACCCACACACAGTGGGACAAAGGACTGCCCAGTCCCGCATCATGTGCAGATTGGACAGTGTTCTGTTGGCATCCATCGGACTTCCTGAGGCTGATTTTTGGGAAACAGATCTTTATTCCTAGCCCATCTTAGTCTAGAAGCTCTGCTGAAACCTGCTTAGCATCTTTGTTGTTGGTGTCATATGCCGTCGAGTCAGTTTGGACTCATAATGACCCTGTCTAGGGTTTCTGTGGAGCAGCTGGCGAGCTTGAACTGCCGACCTAGAGGTTCAAACTTTGCAGTCCAGCATATTAACCCACAGCACCACACCAGGACCACACAGCACCACTTGGCACCACACAAACCTCCACGGATAGATGGGTGGTCCTTGCATGAGGTGCGCCGGCTTGGAATTGAACCTGGGTCTCCAGCATGAGAGGTGAGGATTCTACCACTGAGCCATCAGAGCTGTGCTCCCTGATTCAATCTCTGGCTTCTTCAAACCAGAGCACCATGGAGTAAGAGCCCAGCCCATCCATAACAGGTGCGCACTGTGCTGGACAGACAATAACATTTGTGATGATCCTGGGCCTGCCCAGGGCCGGGCTCACAAGCATGTCCGTCCCATGTCCTTGCTCCCCACTTCTCAGTCTACGATACATGGAGGTCAGGTAAGCCATCAGGGTCCCCACAGTGAGCAGTGGAATTGGGGTCTGCACCTCACCCACCCCATGTGTAACTCTTCTGGGCATAACCCACAGATCATGTGCTTGCTGTGGCTCCTCCCAGGGCTGTTGTGGAGACCAGAAGGCAGTGCAAGCACATAGAGACTGCTAAGTGTCAGCAGCTGTGATGATTCCATCCAATCGGATCTGACCCTGTTCTGTATAGGGTTTCTGAGAAGTGGTTCATGGGTTTGAACCTCAGACCTTGTAGATACCAATGTACCCTACAGTGTTACACAATCACAAAAAGACAACTATTGTAGGATCTCACTACAGCACCATAGCAAGATTCCAAAACAGTTTCCAGGAGTCAACTGGTGACTCAAACTCACAGTGAGTGAGCCCACGTATGTAGGGACAGAAGTGTGCTCCACAGGCTTCTCAGTGGCTGAGCTTTCAGAAGCAGGCCACCAGGGCTTTCCAAAGCCCCTTGGGGTAGACTTGAACCTCCCACCATTTGGTTACCAGTAGAGCACAGTAACTGTTCACACCATCCAGGGGCTCGACGATCATTACTGTTCCCACGTTCCAAGTGGTCCCCTGCTACCTCTCGTTACAAAGGATCTGAAAATAATGGACCGATTGAATGTCCAGCAGCACTGAGAACTGGGAGAAGAATACAGAAATGCATAGTGAATGCTGGGAGTCCCTGGGTACTGCAGCTGATTAATATGTGTGGCTGCTAACTGAAAGATGGGCGGTTCGAGGCCACCTAGAGACATTGCAGAACAAAGGCTGAGAGGTATACTTCGGAAACATCCGCCTTTGAAAACCCACTAGAGCGCAGTCCTCCTGTGACACACATAAGTCAGAATCGGCTTGATGGTAACTGGTTTTAGTTAACACTGAGGCTTCTGAATTTTCTGAGTGGCATTTGTTCACGTTACCATTCTCCCATTCCACTGTTACAGAAGTCAATCACAAAAAGACAAATATGGTAGGATCTCACTAATATGAAACACTTAGAATACATAAAATCAGCGTTAAAAAACTTCCTTACTGTGACATTTGTACATATCACAGTGGCCACTGTCCATGACAAACACTGTAAGACAGGCTGGGGACAGACTGGCCACTCTTAACTCTCATTAAATAATAATGTATCTCAAATCCTGGTTTTCCATTAACTTGTTGCATGTCCTTGGCTCAGGCTCTGGACATCAACAAAGTTTCATTAACAAAGGTGTTGGCTTAGATCGTGGTTTTCAAACTGTGTTCCAGAGACCCTGTTGGGGGCCTTCAGGGCTGGGAAGCAGCGGAGCTGAGGCTGCTGGGTAGAGGGAGCCTTTGGTTCCCATCCCAACTTAACCAGGAACAAAACCCCTCTGGCTGCCCTTCCATGTGCTGAGAATTCAACAAGAGATCACCCATTGTTAAGGGCAATGATGACCTCCCTGTTGGCATACTCAATGGTAAGTTCGCAAGCCTCACCTAACTCCAGGCCTCAGCAGAACTGGAGATACCTGACCCCTGCCTCCTTCATGGAAGCATCCTCCTTCCTTTTCCTCCTCCTCTGCCTCCACGCAGCCTTCTCTCTGGGTTTCCTCCTCCCTCACCAGATGATCCTCCTTGGTCTCTTGCCCAGACTTCACTCTTCAGACATTGCTTTTCTCCCTCGCATTCCCGACAGAGACCCAACTAGTTACACCACAAAATGATATAAACCAAGCCTGGGTATGGACTATACCAACAAGAGTAACAAGCTATGTGCTATAATGTCCATTGCACAACGCTCATAGAAGCAGTGGTCAGGAAATCTAACGACAGATTGCACTGACAAATCTGCTGCAAAACTTAAGGCATCACTTAACTAAGGTGCACCAGACCCAAGCCATAGGGTTTATCAATCGCCTCATATGTGTGCAAATCTGGACAATGAATAAGGAAGACTAAAAATGTGCTGGACTGCAAAGTCATTTGAACCACAAGGTTCAAGCTCACCAGCCGCTCCTCAGAAACCCTACACAGGGTCTCTATGGGTCGGAACCAACTTGACAGCACTTAACAACAGGAAGCATAGATGCTTTGTAATGCTGAATAGCATGCACTTCCAGAAGAATGAACAAGTCTGTCTTGAAAGAAGTACAACCAGAATGCTCCTAGAAGTGGAGATGGCGAGATGTCTAAGGAGTCTGTCTCCCTCACTTTGGACATGTTATCAGACGGCACCAATCCTTGGAAAACGACATGATGCTTGGTAAAGGAGAGGGTTTGTGAAAAAGAGGAAGACTCTTCATGGGATGGATTGACACAGTGGGTACGGCAATGTGCTCCAACATAT